CACTAAGACTTGAGTGGTTTGTTTTCAGCAAACTCTAGTTATCAAAGCAGTGGAATATTTAGATATTCCCAGGTATTTAAATAGAGTACCTTAGTACAATTGGTTAGTGATTCTGAATCCAAGTATTTTCACAGTAAAGGGAAAAGAGAAAGCACACTGAAATACGTAGTTTTCATTTTCTGATCAATATATACAAACAAAAGGCAAATAATAACATGTTGCTGTTGACTAATGTTAAGCATAAATTTATCACATGGGTTCTTTTAAAAGGACCTTGGGTTCGAAATGGAAAATATAATTAACCACAGTTTTGAAAGTCATAGGAAAATTATCCAAGTCAACTAATTTTGAATCGCTCCTCTGTAAAGACAAAAAGCATTATGGTAAATAATAACTCAAGCATTACAGGAGAGGGACAGAAAAAACATGACCCAGATGATTTGCTTTCTAATAATATACATCATTATGAGGATGTCACATTTAAATATCTTAAGGCAGCTTTTTGGAGTTACTGTGTTGTAAGAAATTCTTGAGTAAGTCTCCTAGAAAGAGTACTCTGCATGGGTTGGGCTATTGCATGGGTTGGGCTATATAGTTAAGTAAACTGAGAGATATTTCCTTTAGGTGCAAAAAATAAGGACAAATTGTTTTACTGAAATATCCTCAAAATCCCGAGCCTGACTTCCTTTACTTATTTATACTTTTACTATCAGGGAGCCTGACTATCATAGTTTTTAACTTTTACTTTTATGAAAATAAATTTCATCTCTATAACTGTCCTCACTTTTGTATGATCAAATCAATTTGCAGCTATCTTTTCAGTATTACCACCTGGATGTCCCACTAATATCTTAGGCATTAATATAATAAATGTAAAACAGAATTACCTCTCTACATGCATACTCACTAACCCAATCAGCTTCTGTTCATAATATTTCTCTACATGCACTGTACTTTATAAATTCTTGATTTCTTTGCCTACGGAAACACTTCTAATATTTCAAGATCCATCTTAAAAATCAATACCTCCTCAAAGATGTGCCTGAATATTGCCTTCTTCTAATTTATACAATTATTAAAAATATTCTCCTTAGCACAACTGCAGTCCTTTGAGGGCAAAGATTGTGCCTTACTGTTTGGGTCCTACATAATATTTAGCACAAGGGTTTACCCATAAAAGCGGCTCAGTAGATATTTGTTAATTTTAAAATTTAAGATGCAATCTTCACCCAGGCAGAAAGTCCACTTTTTGACTATCAGCATGTATCTGTAGGTAGAAGTGAAATTAATTTGGTCAAAATATTCTGAAGACTGTTGGCAATATGGAGTTTAAGTATTAAAAGATGTTTATGCTGAAGGTATCATTCTCATATGGAGACTACATGGAGTTTAAATAAAATGAACTAAGCTATTTTAGCCAAAGACTAAACCTAAGAAAAAGTCTTCAGTTAAGGGAAAAGAAAATGAGCAAAGAGTAGTTGGAAGTGAGAAAGAAAAATGCAAAGGAACTTAAAAGTGAAAAGAGTGTTTTAAACACTGAGACTCAACCAATGTTGTCAAATCTTATAGAGGGACCAAAGGACATACAGACTGAGGAAAGATCTTGGACATGTATTAGAATGTGCAGTGCTTTTAAATAGTAACAAAAATACTGCTATTATTCTTTCACTTACGAAATGAGTCATTATCAAGTCCATTGAATTGAACACTTTAGACTTGTACATGTTATTGTATGTAAAGCATATCTTAAAACGTGCTGTGTACAATTGCTCAGCTAATATTTCTTATACTTGGTTTTCACTAAAGTTTATATTTTCTTATAGTTTAACACTTATTTGAACAAAATGAATCTTATTTAGAATAAAAAAGCCGAAAAAAGCTGAGTTTGATATTCAATATAGCAATGGAAAAATATTTTTCAAAACCAAAACAAAAGGAGAAAAGAAAAAAAATAAAGAGAAGTCAATTATTCCCAAACAATGGCAATGTGATTTCTGGTGTTTGTTGATATTAGTAGTAGTAATATATCAAGTAATAAATATCTTTTAGAGAGTCACCAGAAAACTCTATTCTACTAGATCATAAGAAAGAGAATGTTGTAAGAACTTAATTGCCTAGCTGGATGGGCTAATAACAATATGAAGCTATTTTTTATAGTAAACTCAGAAGTTTGTTGGTTTGTGGTATAGCACTCTTTCACTGTATATATTTAGAGGTGACTAAAGGCACAGTAGTCATACAGATAAATTCATTATTTACAATACAAAACACACTGCTCACAAGCTTTGTTTTTACAGCACACAAATTTTTTTTGTGCTGGACAAACTCATCAGTTTTCCTTAATATTACCTACAACAGTGTCAAAGGCTATAAATATGTTGCTTGTATATTAAAAAACATAGGGTTTAAGAAAATTTGCTACACATTGTTTATGATCTGTCCTGCTTGGCAGTCTTTTATTATCTATTTCACATGTGTGTTTCTTCATACTGATGATGAGTCTATTCTCATTGGCTGGTATCACAATTTGCAATACTGACAAGATTTTGAAACTAGAAGAGTTTGCTAAAGCAAAAGTAATGATAATCACAGCATATGTGACTCCTGATTAATAAACGAAACCTCTCATCTCCCCACAAAAATAAATAAAAAAGACTTTGAAATAGATACACATATTAAAAATAAATGCTAACTTGAGTCAGTGTTCAGAGTTCCCTGTATTTTATAAATTTCTGAAGAATATCGTCCCATGTGAAATTAACATTGGCACATGTTACCTAGATGGATTGCAAAACAGAGCGATTAAGAGTTTTAAGGGTTATAGAATTTGAATACAATAATCTCAGGGTCAGATCGAAGATTTAGAAGAGAAATCTTGCCTGCACTCTCTGACACATTCCCATATTTATTTATTCCCTCTCTAATTCCTAAAGTGCTTTTCAGTGAAAGAGTTAAAACAGGAGACTATAGGATTATGTGGGGGTTAGCCAGAATGAGGGGGTGGCAAAGCTACAGGATCTTGGAGAGAGAAAGAGAGGATCCTGAGGAAATGTGGGGAGAGTGATTTGTACCAACTATTGAACGAAAATAAAAACAGGCTTGAGCAAAAGAAACCTTGGGGAGCTTCTGCAGACCTGAAAAAGAAATGTGGGCCTGAGAGGCCAAAGGACCTGTGTGCAATTTCCTGACATGTTAGAAAACTGCAGTGACAGCCCACAAAATAATTAATCCTAAATGCTGAAAAATGTGTCCACCAGAAATATTTATTTTTGCTTTATTCTAGATTCTGAATCTGAGTTCGTGTTCAATAAAAATATCTTTCTCTCTGGTCAGTAACACTTAGAACACACCCAAAATATTTAGCTACTTTCTGTTTATATACCTATGCACAACCCACACACATCTTTGCATAGTTTAAAAAAAAATCCTACCTTTATCTATTTCAAATAATGTTTTCAGAAGAATTCATATTTTCTCCTTGATTTCTCTACCACCATTAATAAATTTAAATTGTACCCATTAGGACACAGTGGTGTAAAATCTAGCCACAGGAGAATTGTGTAGTTAGGCCCCCTTTGAAATCTCTTTTTCCCCCCACTCCCTCTAATGGATTTCACATGATTAAATTGCAAAAGGCAGGACAGAAAGGTGATGTTTTGACAAAATGAGCTTGGTTGTTTGGAAGCAGCCCTGAAGCAGTACCTCTGAATTGGAGGCCTTATGGATTTCTCCATAATGCAGATAGAACTTCATGATATATTTAAATCCTTTTCCGCAAACATTCCCTGATTTGTTGCCAAGCCGTCACTGAATTTAGTAATCCAGACAGATTACCACAGGGGTCCTATTTTTAGGGTCCTTCTGTTGCTGTGGCAGTTGCAGCTGATCGGATTACGGCTCTATCCTACCCATGCAAAATGCACCGACGCTTCAAGAGAAACCTGCCCTGCACTCCCGTAATTACGATGTAAGACTCATAGCTGGGTATTTCTCTCTGAATTTATTCTGTAGCTCCATTGTAGGCAATCCATTAACTCCCGAGATAGAGAGCTGTCTTTTAGTTTTGCTCCGTGCCTTTCAAACTAACTCACTATTATGTGCACGTGTGTGTTGGGGGGAGGGTGGGTGACAGTAAATGCATGCTGGGGGGGTCACAGAGGACGTATGTAACTTCTCTGATTCTGAGGGCAGAAAACTACGTAACCCAGACATTACTCTCTCCTATAAATGACAATATCTCCATCTAGTGGTAAAAATGACCTTAATCATTATATTATATTTTACTTCACTGTCAGAGGAGAAAAGGCATCTACAAATTTGTCTCAGAACATAATTTGTGCTTTACTTTTACTATATAAATGTTTTCGTAAGAAGAGGAGATGATGGTCACCAAACCAGATTGTACCCCATTCTGTAGTCTTTGAAAGGGAGAAAATAATTCCACTTACTTCGGAGGAAGTTTGTCCTCCCCTATTGCCTGATATCTGGGTAAACAGTTTGTCAATAATCTCTTTCATGATTTTTTACCATGCATTGAGAGGGGAGGCAGTTATAAAGTGTAATAAAATAACAAATTTAATTAATTTTATATAGATTCTTGTATTTGTTCTAAGAAGTAAATTACTCACCGAATTTCTCATCTCTCATTAAAATTATCTTTATCAATTTCATAGCTATTACACCCCAGAAAGCTAGTATATATTATACACACATAAGCAAATACATACCATCTTTTCTTTGAATAAATAAAGGTTAAAGCAGCATGTTAAGATTTTTCCCATTTCGTAAATTACTACAACCTCAATTAAAAAATGAAGTCTATTCATAAAAAATGAAGACTATATTCATATTCTTGCAATATGAAGCCAGTAATTTAAAGCTGTCTTTTACAAATGTTCTTAATTACATGATTGCTATTTGTTCATGCAAATGTTAGATTGTTTTAACTCATGTTCCAACTCATATCTAATTATACAGCTTATAGTAACAAATTCATTTACCTGAATATAAATACGTTGTCATCAGACAGGCCACTGCGCAGACGGCAGTGTCCACCAGGTGGCAGCACTCGTGTGGGCTCAGCCCATTGCAATCTTGGTTCCTGTACTTGTTGCACCTGAGTCCCAGCTTTGCTCGTGTGCCAGGGGAATTTGGTCTCTCGAGAGCGACTCGGTCCAGTAACGCGATGCAAAAGAGTCAGATCTTTCAATCCAGAATATCAACTGATTAATGTAAAACTGAAGGTAGTCTTTTTCTGAGACCGTGGTATTGGGAGATGCTACCCAAAGAACCTGGTATGAAGGTATCTAAGAATTTTAATGAGTCTGTATCCTTGACAAATATTTTTTTCCCAGCTTATGTCAAAGTCCAATGACTTTTTTATTGTTGTTCATCCCTTTCTTCTCTCCCTCCCTCTTTCCTTCCTTCTCTTCCTCTTTCCTTTCTGCTTCCATTTTTCTTTTATCCTTCCTTTTTTTATTTTTTATTTTCTTTTTTCCATTCTCCCTCCTAGTACCCTTCCCTGGCTTCCATCCTCTTAATAATAATGTTGATAGCAACAACAATAAAGGGTAAAATAATAATATTTGTTTATAGGTGCCAATCCCTGTTCTACGTATTTTCCCAAGATTATCTCATTTAATCCTTCTAATCTCACTATTATTAGCTATGTGTACAGATGAGTGAACTGAGGAATGATATGATTGACTAAATTGTTCAATGTATTAATTCAGAAAANGAATATCAACTGATTAATGTAAAACTGAAGGTAGTCTTTTTCTGAGACCGTGGTATTGGGAGATGCTACCCAAAGAACCTGGTATGAAGGTATCTAAGAATTTTAATGAGTCTGTATCCTTGACAAATATTTTTTTCCCAGCTTATGTCAAAGTCCAATGACTTTTTTATTGTTGTTCATCCCTTTCTTCTCTCCCTCCCTCTTTCCTTCCTTCTCTTCCTCTTTCCTTTCTGCTTCCATTTTTCTTTTATCCTTCCTTTTTTTATTTTTTATTTTCTTTTTTCCATTCTCCCTCCTAGTACCCTTCCCTGGCTTCCATCCTCTTAATAATAATGTTGATAGCAACAACAATAAAGGGTAAAATAATAATATTTGTTTATAGGTGCCAATCCCTGTTCTAAGTATTTTCCCAAGATTATCTCATTTAATCCTTCTAATCTCACTATTATTAGCTATGTGTACAGATGAGTGAACTGAGGAATGATATGATTGACTAAATTGTTCAATGTATTAATTCAGAAAATATGTATTGAACACATACTATAATCAGAATACAACAGCGATCAAATCAGATACATGTTCTCATGGAGTTTGCATTCGAGAAAGACAGATAATGAACAGGTTAAAAAAAAGTATTACAGCTTGTGATGTGTGTTATGAGGAAGTAAAAGGAGAGCTGTGATTAGACAAAGAACAAAGGACTCTTAAATAAGGTAGTAGATATATGCTGGGCATTATATATATATATGTATGTGTGTGTATATATATATATTTGCAATATCTAGGCTATGGAGTAACTAAATCTTCACGATCTAGTGTCTTGCTTATTTGGGCAGTTTTTCAGCCCCATATTTTTAAACTTCTTGCCCATTACAGTCTTCTCTACACATTAGAGTCTTTCTGTTTGCATTGTCTTTGTAATTCTGAAAAAATTTCTTTGCATTCTGAAAAAAATATGCTTTAGCCCTCTTAGATAAAATGAGAGCTTGTCCATCATACTTTCCTGAACTACACCCCTATTGCACAAAATACCTCTAGGTTCTTCAGTGACGTGTTCACAGACAATAGCCCACTTACTTGTATAGATGGTTGATCCTCATCCATTATGCATTTAATTCTTACCTTAATTTTAAGTTACGTAGACTTTTCTACATCTCTCCATACCTAATATTTATGTGTAACTGGGCACATTATATTTTGAGAAAAATAAAAGTTAGTGTGTTTTAAAAAATATATTTTAGCCACTTAGAAAATATACTACATCAAATATAACCATCTTTCTATTTTTGAGTAATCTAAAATATTTGGAATATTATTCTTTTGTAGAAGTTTAATGCTTTGGTGTCCAAAATTTACTATCCTCAATTGAGAAATAAATAAAGAAATAAACAGTAAACATTATACATGTGAGATATTTGAAATATTGGTGAAAGAAGGAAGGTAGATTGGATCCAGGTTTAAAACAACATTTAACCCGCACGAAAGAATTCCATTTTTTCTCTTGAAGCATTGTTAAAACTGTAGAGATGTTCTTGAAAAGAAATTCACAGCTTTAAAATAGTAAATGCTATCATTCGTTTTCTGTGTTTCTCATTCTTAAGAATGTCTATCTTATTAAAATTCCCTAGTAAATGAAAACACAATATTTCTCATATCATCTTCACTGGTAAGGGATTATTAGGGACAGTCAAATTGTCTAAAGTAGACTACCCAAGCTTGGTGTTCATTTTAGAAAAACCACAAAGATAGCACTATCTAAGGAATAAATGAAGTTTCTGACCCCAAGAACACAGTGTGTAGGGCATAATAGTTAAATAAATATTTCTTGAATGTGTTAATAAATGAATGGAAATTAAAATTTCTTAGGTGGACACAGCTATAATAGTCTCAGGGCAAGGAATATCCATGTTCAGTTTTTCATTCAATAGTATTTAAAGAGCTTTTCTGTCTTCTGAGAACTACATTGGATTCTGGCAATTCAGTTTTAAGAAATGGAGCTTGCATTTTAATGGAGAAGACATTAATAAATAACTGCAAATTAAACAATTTAATTTCAATTATTGTAAGCTCTAAGAATTTCAAGAAACTAGGAGAATATAATAACAAGGGTGATCCACTGTTGGGAAACATTGGTCTAAAGTAATAAAAAGCAAATGAGTTATCAAAGGCCTAAAATGCTTTTAACATGCCTCCAAGAATAATTTTAAGCTCTGGTGAGGCTCAAATTTTTAGGATGTGTTTATTCATGTCTTATATTTATACAAAAGAAAAAAGTAAAGCTCTACCTGATAAACTAATATTACTACTGCTGTAGATATTAAAAAGAGTCTGCATTCTTCCCACTCAACTGAGTAGTATCAGAATTAAACACTTAAGACTCTACTATAGAGTGTGTCTGTAGATTAGATAGCAGTATTGCATCAATGTTAATTTCTTGTATTTGATAATTTTACTATGGTTTTGCAAAGAAAATGTCCTTGTTTTCAGGAAACACATGCTGAGGTATTAAGTAGTGAAGGAGAATCATGTCTAAAAGTTATTTTCTGATGTTTCAGAGAGAGAGAGTGTGTGTGTGTGTAAAAAAGATAAAAAATGGTAAAATATTAAAGTTAGGGGATCCAAGTGAAAGGTACGGGAGAATTATTTATTCTATCTTTACAACTTTTCTGTAAGTCTGAAATTCTTTAAAATTCAAACAAATTTTGTATTACATAGTCTTTGAGTTATATAGTATTATATATTATAAAATATAATATTTGGAAAATAATACTAATCACAGTTCCTAGCACATACAATATTCATGAATGTCAAGCTTAGAATTCATGATTTTCACTAAACATTGTGAACTAATCATTTGATATGATAAATTAAAATTAAAAAGTCCCTGCTGTTCAACTTATAATTTGCAAAGTGAAAAGTAAAATATCTGTGTGTTATGTTTAGCTTAATGGAAACATTCTTAAGTCATACTTACAAACTTTTAGTTCAAAAAACTGACCTGAACAGAGGACTTTTCCTTCCTTCCTTCTATCTCCCTGAGATAACAGTGAACACACCCAAGAAGAATAAATTACTTATGATGGTAAAATAAGAAAATATACCATCGACCAGCAACATAAATATTGAATTTCTATAATATAGACAGCTGGTAAAATCCTATTGATGGATAAATTGGAATATAGAAGACAACTCAAAATGTGCAGAAGAAGGCTACAAGAAGGATAGGAACATTTGTTTTCCTGTGGAATCCCAAAGTGACCGAGCCCAAAGTAGACAGAGACACACTATAGTTGGGAGAGAGGTTACTGTCAGAGTAATTAGTAAACGGCTGAAAGTATAATGGCTGGGCCTCCGTATTTGCACCTAGCTACAGTATATACCCCAAAAAATGGCATAAAAGGAGAAGGTAATCTTATGGATGTCTATTCAGATAGAAGGGAAGGCCAAGAGATTGCAGAGTTGCTGCCCAAGGAAGGGCCTTGATGTTATTAAGCCTCTTGGGCAACACTAAAACCACGCACCTCTAGACTTCTTGTTATGAGCAAGAAATAAATACTTACTAGTTTAAGCCATAATAGTAATTAGGTGGGGTTTTTTTGTCTTTTGGTTTTTGTTTTTTCGTTTTTTTAATCTGGAGCCTAAAACATTCCAAAAGTTGTCCGACATTTAAATGTGTATATGCAATTATTACAAAAACTCAGTGATGTAACTAACAAATGTGTGTTGGAGTAGGTGGTGCTACAGAGATCAGACAGTTGAACAAAGATACTGTCTTCATCTTTTGCAATAGGAATATTAATATATACTTTCTAAAGTTGATAAGACAAAGTTTTATATGTCTGTAGTAAGAGCTATTGAGGTAAACTATCTGAAGAAATAAGAATATGAATTTTTCAAATAGGTTTACCTGTGGAACATGGTGCTTTCTCAGACAATCTAAACACAAATTAAGAAAAATGATTTAAGTGACTNGAATATCAACTGATTAATGTAAAACTGAAGGTAGTCTTTTTCTGAGACCGTGGTATTGGGATATGCTACCCAAAGAACCTGGTATGAAGGTATCTAAGAATTTTAATGAGTCTGTAGCCTTGACAAGTATTTTTTCCCAGCTTATGTCAAAGTCCAATGACTTTTTTTTTGTTGTTCATCCCTTTCTTCTCTCCCTCCCTCTTTCCTTCCTTCTCTTCCTCTTTCCTTTCTGCTTCCATTTTTCTTTTATCCTTCCTTTTTTTTATTTTTTATTATTTTTTTTTCCATTCTCCCTCCTAGTACCCTTCCCTGGCTTCCATCCTCTTAATAATAATGTTGATAGCAACAACAATAAAAGGAAAAATAATAATATTTGTTTATAGGTGCCAATCCCTGTTCTAAGTATTTTCCCAAGATTATCTCATTTAATCCTTCTAATCTCACTATTATTAGCTATGTGTACAGATGAGTGAACTGAGGAATGATATGATTG